ATCTGTGCATCGACGCGATGTTCCATCTATCGAGTAGAATTGTTTTTTTTAGTGCGCTACCGTAGTATGTAAAAACAAAAAATATGTAAAACAAGAATAAAAAAATGTATTTTTTTTAAATATAAATTACGACTTAATTTCTTCACATGCATTTCCATTCGAGTCGTATATGCGACGTTCGACTCGAACCACTCAGGCCACTTGAAATTTAAGGTATCGTATATCGTAACCTATGAAGCGATGCTCCGGCGACGCTCGCCTATTCGTATATCGTAAACTATGAAGCGCTCGCCTTTGTAGCGTGAGACTTCGCTGGAAGCGACTATCAGTTTACACGACCGCCATTATATTTTTCTCTGGCGATTTTAGTCTCATCGTAGCCGTGAGCCTGCTTGAACGTGTTTCGCCCGAAAATATTTTTTTCGAGGATTAGTGACGCCTTTGTGATTGTTTTTTACTTTCTTGTTTGTGATGCCTCCAAACCTTCCCCCGTATCAGGCTAAATACGTAAAATTAAGTGAAATTGTGGGAAGTGCCGAAGATTTAAATGATTTTAATTTTAATTTTAACGACTTCGATAATTTTAATTTTAACAACTTTGATGATTTTACTTTTAACAACTTTGTCGCTGCTCTCCCGCGTCTCCCGCGTCTCCCGCGTATCCCGCGGACGAACGGTGGCGGACGCGGGCTGATTCCCTGCGGGCGGCCAGTATTAAACATTAATATCGCGGAATTTTTTGATTCTGATTTTGACATTGATAACTTTGAATCTGATAGTGATAGTGAGATTCAGGAGGCAAGGTCCGCCGCTCCCCCGCGTCAGCCACCCGCGCCCCGGCTCCCAACAGTTCAGGTGGGCACGCCACCCGGTGTTTCACGCGGGCGAGCGCTGCGGAACGCTCTCAACCTCCCGGCCATCGGACGCGGGCGGGCACAACCCGCGCCCCGGCTCCCAACAGTTCAAGTGGGCACGCCACCCGGTGTTTTACGCGGGCGAGCGCTGCGGAACGCTCTCGGCCTCCCGGCCATCGGACGCGGGCGGGAACAAATTTACGCCGACTCCCTCGCGTTGAGACGGATGCCGGCGGGTTGCGGCCATGGGGCCCCCCCTCGTCGAGATTGAGGTATTTTCTTTTTTGTTTCTTTTTTGTTTCTTTTACTTAAAAATTAATAACGTGGGAGCGAGAGAGAGACCGCGCTGAGGGAAAGACAACGCGAACGAGACGCGGGCGAGTCGTGTGACGTCACGCGGACCGACGTGGCCGTTGGACGCGGACCCCCATCCTCCCGCGGCGCGCCGCCGATAAAATTCCAGTAGCCGAACGGCGCCCATCGCCTTTGTATACCCCGCGCCGATAAAGTGACGACCCCCCTCCCCCTCCGGACCACCCTCGGCGTAAAACGCGGATACCCCCCCCCTCGGCGGTACCCTTGTCAACGATACGTTTATTAACATTTAATAAACATGTCCCGACATGCTCGCCGACCACCCCCCCTCCCCGCGGACCACCCGCGCCCTCGAGTCCCACCCCCTCCCCGCGGGCACCCTCGTCCTCGAGTCCCCCACCCCCCTCCCCGCGGACTCCCTCTCCCCGCTCCCCCTTGCCTGCGGTACCCCCCGCCCCGCTCCCCCCTTGCCCGCGGTACCCCCCCGCCCCGCTCTCCCCTCGGAGCTCCCGGGGTAGATCTCTCAAAATAACACCTACTAATATATTTCTCTTACTAGGAATCGAAGAATATTCAAGCGTATATAAAACTATAACATCAGGAATTAAATCTTCGGCAACGTGTTTGCAACATGGTGTACTTAATATTCCTGATGAAAGTCATTTAGTGATGAAATCAGCCGCTTATTTGCTGCCTGTAAGAAGATTAAATTTAATTAAAATATTTATTTTGATTATTTTTAAATAGTTTATAGGTATACATATAAGTAATATTTAACAATTAGAGGTACAAATCTTTCATATTATACCACAGCTTACACATACATTTATATTTATTTTCTTAGCACATATTAAAGAAAATAAAAGATCAAAGGAAATTTCTAATAGTGGGTTATTCGTTTGGATCCTTAATTGCCATTGAATTAGCAAAGATTATTAGAAGCTAAAGATTTCTCAGGACGGTTAATATTAATAGACGAAACTCCCGATCAAATAAAATTTTGGACTAATCAATATTTGGACTGTACTTCGCCAGATGAGTTACAAAATGTGGTATTACTTGGTTTATTGGAAATGTACGCTATAATTAACAAGAAAAAGGTTAGTAAATGATTAAAAAAACACATTTTGATTCTTTATTATAAAAACTATTTATGTAATTTTAATCTTATATAAATTTAAATAAATTAATAACACACACATAAAATAATTCATTATAACGTAAATATCTTCAGGGATTGTATTTGAATCTTTAAATAGTAAAACAAAATGTTTTAAATTTTGTTTTGTATGTTTGTGTATGTGTCAAGATTAAATAATAATAATAGTTTTAGATGGAAAACACAATAAGTGAGTATTAATAAATATATGTAAGGAATTTTAATGAAATAAATAAAAATAACAACAGATTTTATCATGGTTCAAAAATTCACTAAATTTTTTATATTTATATTAATAAAACGCAGACGTTATATATATATATTGTGACGTGACAATTGTCACGTCCGCCGCCCAGGCAATAGCTCGGCCGAGGGGAAGGTCAGGGATGGCGTCTCGACTCGGGTCGAGGAAGGGCTACCCGCGTAACTAAACTTTTTTCTGAGAAACATTCCGTAGGGACGACAGGTGGTGCCGGAGCGTGGGATCACGACCGGATGTAACGACGATAGTCGCGACGAGGGAGAAACGGGCGCTCGGAGGACGCACGACGGAGTGGTCGGCCGACGGGCGGGCCACCGGGACCTGCCGCTGGAAAAGCGCCAGGAATGCCTCGCCCAGCGTAACACGGCCCCGCCGCAGCATGAACACGGGTGCGCCACCGCGACTGCAGCGCGGGTGGACGACCCACACCCTCACCCGGCGGCGCCCCAAGGGCCGAGCGGCACCGCCACGGTCTGATCAGCCGGGCGGAAAACCGCGAGGGGCCCGCGCACAACCAGCAGCCGAATCAAATGTGCCGCGGGAAAATGGCGGAAATCGTCTGCAACGTCGCAAACAGGGCGACGCACACAACCAATCGGCGGGGCGGAAGAACTGCGAGCTTGAGGGCGCAAGTGCGGGGGTCCGGCGTGGTCCGGCCAAACCGACCGCTCCTCACTGTCGATCTGGCCGCGGACGAGGAGCCACCCTTGGAGGAGCGCCCCGACGCCACCGAGCAGCAGCGAGCGGCAAAATTGTAAGATCTCTACTCCGGTGCCGCCTATTCGTTGAGAGCTCGATCTCGGTCGCGACACGGTGCCGGAAAGGCGTATATCGAGTAGATTACCGTGTGAATCGGCCTGATTACGTGTCGTACTTAGCTACCGGCTCCCGCCGTTGTGGATGCCGGGAAGATTATCGCGGCTGTTTGTCGGGACCGCGGGCACGTGGCCGGCCGAGATCGTAGCCAGAAACAGTAAAAGCCCTACTCGAAAGCTTGCGTGTGATCGGCAGTCAATTCGCGTATAGCGTCACGTGCAGTCTGTGAATAGTGTGTTTAGAGTTGCGAATTACGGTATATTGTCGCGTGTCGCGTACGGAAGTCCCGTGTGCGTGTCGGGAGGGACCGCGCCGGGCTCCTTTTGCGTATTATTGTCGCGTTTCGCGTACGGAAGTCCCGTGGGCGTGTCGGGAGGGACCGCGCCGGGCACCTTGGGGTGCGTTGAGGTGCATCGCGAGCCTCGCGGATATCTTGCGCCGTGTGTGCGGGCAAATATCGTCGCGATTGCCCGCATGGGAATCTCGCGAGCACGCCGTTCGGGCGTTGCATACATTGTGTCGTGCGGGTGAGAATTGTTATGTCGAGTGTATGAGAATCGTTTGCGTAGGGCGTGTGAGAATCGCCGAGCGTTCGGGATCCGGGGATTAAGACGTGGGTAGATTGACGTTATCGCGGGGTCGTGCGTAGAATCGAGAGCTTCGCTCGCGAAGGGAGCCTCGCGAGCGTGAACATCCCGCACTTCACGCGTGCGGTAACGGCCGACCCGAGTACCGCGGTAGTGCCGGCCATTTGAGCGAGATCCGGCCTTGGTTTCCCGTTACGATTTGTCCGCTTGTGTTTATCGAACGAAATATATCTAATTATTATTGTTTATTGTCGGGCTTTATTTCTGTGTTGCTTGCGTCACGCTCCTTCTCCACCTTCATCCCTTTCACGCGGAGCTACGCCCTGAGCTTGTGGCGAGGTTAAGGAGGAGAACGTTATCGAGACGTGGTGCGCGTCTATAATCGCACCTGGCGCCCAATCAAATGGTATCGTCCAAGACCTAAGATACAGGAATTTCGGTAAGAGAAGTGACTTCGTTGTCCCCTTCGAGTTATCGTCCGGTGGTCGGCGGATTAATTTGTAGCCGCGCTCCCTCGGCCAACGAGACCGAGGGAAATCGGATTGCCCTATTTTCGTGGCTATAATAAAAATACTTGCGGCGAGACTAGCGTGCGTGCTTCTTTCTGTGCTTGCACCGGGAGAGCGACGGACCTAACCGTACAGTCATCACGGAGATGCTCGCGCACTCACGGCCACCAATAGAATTAATACATACTAGACCGATTGTC